AGACGCGAATATCATGTACGTCACAAATACTATATCTTACCCAATACAGCGCAGACAGCTACGTAAGATATCATAAAGATATTATAAAGATAAATAGAAGATAAAATATTCAGAAGTATGTAATATTGGTAAACTGGTATATTCTTCTTATATAAATTAAGCATTATTCCCTCTTTTGTGCACTACTACCAATTTTTACATAAAAATATCTATTTTTGCACTTAAATATTTATTTTAAGATAACCCATCCAGAATTATATGTAGTACACAGATAAAACCAGAAATAAAATAATAAAGAAGCTATATACAAGATATCATAAAACAATGGATTAACTAAAAGTTCTTATTAATCGTATTCTTAAATAAAACTTAAAAAGACATACTCATGTTAACAAAATACATTAGTAAATTTTCGCATATGAAAAAATACATCCAACTTGGTAATGAAATCCTTTTGTAATTATAAAGCTATTTTTAGAATAGCACGTACCTACCAAAAACAGGTATTTGGTATTATACATATCTATTACATATTGTCATGGTGATCGCCAACATTCGTAACGGATAGGCACATCAAGAAGAAGAAGAAGATTACATATTGTAAGTCGTATGAATGTTAACAAAAATAAGGAGTCCGTATGAACCGTTTAAAATATATAAAATGTATATATCAAGAACGCTGGCTTAATAGCATAGTTGCCAAACTATCAGAGCTTACTTAAACCGATATACTTATGGTTCCAATATACAGTGAAAAAGATCTGAACGACCCCTATAATATATACACGTGAACTAAGCGAAATACATTTATGATACAGGGGTACTTATGAGCTCCAAATTTTTTTTAAGAATTATGAAACTATACATCTTAACGAATCGACAGAGCCAATATTATGGAATGGACAAGTGGGCTCCGTATATCGGTGTCCACTTGACCACGGAGCTCATTTGAACCTGAATTTTAACATGGGCGGAGTTCACTTTATGCCGTATATATATATATATATATATATATATATATATATATATATATATATATAGGTGGTGGTATTTTTGACTGTTGATTTAAATATAAGTTGTGATTTTTGAGGATGTAGTCAGTTTATTTGGCCCACAAGACAAAGAAAACTCTTTGACTTACTGTCAAGCTTTCGAATTTTATTTAATTCTTTTTCAAGACATATATAAAAAGAAATATAAATTAACTAGTTAAAATTGTTAATTGTCTTACTTACTAGTCGTGAGATTACAGTTCTTAATATTATTGTACTCTACAAAACAAACCATTATAAATATATTAAAAATTTTTTTATTAAAAATAACTGTATTGTCACTATATATGTCATTGTCATGGTTTGATTAATGGACATATATGACTGAAAATACAGTTACTTTATGTGGAAAGCAAAACCAGTAACAATAGTTTTTATTATAATTTATTTAATTGTCTATAAAAAATAAAAATTAATCCAGTCAGCAGTTTGGCTTAAGCACATATGAATTTTTAATGTTAGGATGTCAATAGAAAATGAGATCTTGACGGTATTTATTGATATGTTAATATGTAACAATAAATGTTACTTAATTTGTCAATATCTGATCTTCTATTTACACATTTTTTATTTTTTTGTATATATGTCATTTCTAAAAATAACCGTTTCTGTTCATGTTTCTGCCTCTCTAGAATTGAAGCCTGTGAAAAATTAAATGTGTGATTTAGATTGATGTAGATGATTTGATCCTAGCTGTACCCAATGACAAAATAACTGACGTCTTAAATATTTTTAATAACCAATGTAGCCAATTACAATTTACTGCAGAAAAAGAACAAAATAACAGTCTCCCTTTTTTAGATATGATTGTCCATCGCACACATGACAATAGTCTTAAAACAGAATGGTATCGAAAACCAATTTCTAGCAATAGATTCATTAATTACTATTCCGAACATCCTACAAAAATGAAAATAAACTTAATTTTGGGGCTAAAAAGTAGAGTAACTAGAATAACTCATCCAACATATAGAGAACAAAGTTTAAAGAGACTAAAAAACATACTAATTGAAAATTCTTATCCCGTTGGCTTACTCAATAAATTAATTTTTAGTACTGCAAACTCTCCAACCTCCATCACATTGATCGACAATACCAACAATAAAAAACAAATCACAGTAAAAATGGCAAATCAAGAAATAAACAATAGCCTGACAGTTAACACCTTAATACCAATAACACCACAAACTTTTGGATCTTTACCTTATATTCCATTCTTAACACCAAAACTTCTCAAATTATTTAAAGGATTAGAAAACATAAAAATTGCCACCAGAAATGTTAAAACCATAGCACATTTATACACTAAAACTAAAGATCCTTTAACAACTGATGAAAGTTCTAGAATAGTGTATCAAATACCTTGCTCAGACTGTGATAAAGTTAATATAGGAGAAACTTCTCGAACATTACACAGCAGAATTATTTCTCATAAAAGTGATGTAAAAACTAAGAAATCACAAGCTTGTGCATTAGCTGAATACTCCATCAATCTAAATCACACATTTAATTTTTCACATTCTTCAATTCTAGAGAGGCAGAAACATGAACAGAAACGGTTATTTTTAGAAATGACACATATACAAAAAAATAAAAAATGTGTAAATAGAAGATCAGATATTGACAAATTAAGTAACATTTATTTAATTTATTTATTACACACATTTAATTTTTCACAGGCTTCAATTCTAGAGAGGCAGAAACATGAACAGAAACGGTTATTTTTAGAAATGACACATATACAAAAAAATAAAAAAATGTGTAAATAGAAGATCAGATATTGACAAATTAAGTAACATTTATTGTTACATATTAACATATCAATAAATACCGTCAAGATCTCATTTTCTATTGACATCCTAACATTAAAAATTCATATGTGCTTAAGCCAAACTGCCGACTGGATTAATTTTTATTTTTTATAGACAATTAAATAAATTATAATAAAAACTATTGTTACTGGTTTTGCTTTCCACATAAAGTAACTGTATTTTCAGTCATATATGTCCATTAATCAAACCATGACAATGACATATATAGTGACAATACAGTTATTTTTAATAAAAAAATTTTTAATATATTTATAATGGTTTGTTTTGTAGAGTACAATAATATTAAGAACTGTAATCTCACGACTAGTAAGTAAGACAATTAACAATTTTAACTAGTTAATTTATATTTCTTTTTATAGATGTCTTGAAAAAGAATTAAATAAAATTCGAAAGCTTGACAGTAAGTCAAAGAGTTTTCTTTGTCTTGTGGGCCAAATAAACTGACTGCATCCTCAAATATATATATATATATATATATATGTTCGGAAAGATTTCCGCGGTTAGTACAATGAAACCTAGAGCTAAGATTAATAGTATTATAAAAATTAATATTAAACTCATCAGTCTTCCAGGTTGAACCGCGTCGATATCCATTGGGCCGAGATTTCGACATCTTCTCTGATGTCTTCCTCAGGGCTTCTGAGGTATCAGTCTCCCGAGCCCCTAGACACTGGTCACTGATTTTCCGTATGGATCATGGAAATTTTCCGTACAATTCTAGGATTGTTCAATTTCGGACATTGCTCGTAACATATGATATGTAGGAATCGACCTCAGTTGTTTGTTCTTTTTTCTCCGAGCCTATCCCTCAGGGAAAAATGGTGGAGAAAAGGTGGCACCTTTTTCTTTGATTTATTGGTTCGTACGGACAATGTTTGCACCTAATATATCATATTATTTAAACTTACCGCTTTATTGCATTAGCGGTTGGCAACTCGCCTTTTTGTCTGTCATGTTTTGACTTCAAGGACACTATCTTTTCACGTGATAGCTTGGTGTTTCTAAAATGGGCTCTTATTTGTTGGGTGTCTCTTGAAAGCGTTGGAAGCTAATTGTGGTAACTTCATTACACCTTTTAATATTACTATAGCAAACTCGTTAATCACTTCAATTATGTTACCTAAACTAAAAATTAAATTTAACTAATATTATACTGTTGGAAGTGTGATCTTATGATCTTGTTAGTTCTCGGCAAATATTTTTTACATAAGTTTTTTTACACACTTTTTATATTACATGTACAATAACCACATGGTCTTTTGCTGTTATAAGTTTGAGTTAATTTGTAAACTGTATTTAGTTTTAATTAATTGTTTATACAACATAACTATTTGATGTCTAATGTCCTAAGCTTCTATACATATTATAACATTGACTGCTACATGTCTTTTTGAGGTAACACATTTATATTGACTTTTCTAGGGATGTTTGGTTTTTCATAATGTTCTTTTTAGATGAACTGATAATGCTTTCTGATTAGAGAGCGAAACGTCTTCAATAAATAGATGAAGTAGCCACCTTCTTTGTCTTTTGACCTTTTGGCCGAAAAACCCACAACTCTTCGAGTGATCCTTAATTTATATTGGATTAACGGTCGTACTCCTTTCCTCGAGATATATATATATATATATATATATATATATATATATATATATATATATATATATATATATATATATATATATATATATACGACTATACAAATAAAAAAAACATTTTATAAATTTTTGACATTCAGCGTATTGGAAATATAACTAACATTTATACGTCCATGGATATTTTATTTCTTTCAGCCCTAAAGAAGTGAATAAACATTCACGAAAACGTTAGGCCGTACAATTGATACACATTGAGATTTTTATTGCATATTTCCCCAATATTTAAAAGTTTACTTTCTATCTGCAAAGATTAACCTTTCTTTTATAATATATATATATATATATATATATATATATATATATATATATATATATATTCATATATATAAAGAATAAGGAAAAGTAAAGAAAAGGAAAAAGTATAAATAATATATAATTTTCAAAATTTCGAAGAAATATTGTGATATCGCAAAATATATATTAATATTTATTTTCGGTTTGATATATAAGTTACTTACCTTTAGATGAACAACTTCTTTATCTACAAGACTAGTTATATGATAAGGCGCTGTAAGAAGAGTTCTAGACTTTCTGTCGCATATATAAGTCCACCAATATTCCTGTTTGTCATAAGGATAATAGGGACAATGTACACTATGTGAAGTCTTTGATTTGCCTTCTAGAGATTTTTCCCTGTCATGGATTTTCTGGAATTTCTCCCATTCCTATAAGCAATGAAAAGTATAGAATATAAATACGTCGTAAAGCAAAAGCAATTGAACACATCTTATTACGTAGTCAGAATAATTTAGAATATATTCGCTGTTTAAAGACGGTGTTTGTTTAACAGTCGCCAATCAAAAACGGTACCAGTGTTTTTTCTCGTTTATCTTTTCTTTCCACACACAATTTTTTTAACATTCATGTTAAATGTAATTATTAAAATAGGAGCTTGGAAATAACTTGAATTTAGTTCAATGTCAAAGAAGTGAACCAATAAAACATATTAATAAACAATACGTGTATTTGTAATAGAAAAAGGGATGTACGAGACCTAGCATAATAAGCATAACCTATATATTTAAGCGACTTGTTACAGATAGAACAGACGACTTGACAAAATCTGTAGAAACTTTCTCAAACGGTATCGGAATGCAGTTAGACATGTGCCCTGTTTCAAATATGGTCAGAGAAATGGTTCAGCCCGGAGGTTTCGATATGCAAGGTGACCAAAACATCGATGCAATAGGTAAAAAAGGTAAGGTCCATTCGCTCAGCTCGGGCACATTTTGACAGATTTATAGCTGAAAACCTACAACACAAAAGTCCCTATATCACAGTATTAACAGCTTAAATAAACTTTTATTACATACTTCTTTCACTGAAAAAAGAAGAATTATTACAAATATTGGAAGGGTATACTAAACCCATAAAATTTTGGGTAGTATATATTTAAAAAATATATTTCAGTTGTTAAACATAATTCTAATAAATATCCAATAACAAAAACATATTCTAGTAAAATTTAATAGCCTTGTTGCCAAGAAAAATATAAAATTACAAAGAACTGATCAGCCCTTTGTGTCCGCTGCTGGATTAACAAATTATGAGGTTTACAGGTGTATATTTTTATTATAAGTAATTTTTTTACTTGAAATTTATTTTTTTAATTTAATTAGGAAACAAGTCTGATATGCACTATTTAAAAGGTTTATAAACCTAAAAAAAAAACAACACTCAAAATCAAAACAATAACTTAACTTCAAAGGTAAATAAACAGCAACACAACACGATACAAAAATTAAAAAATTATATCGAATGATCCAATCCAAAAATTAGAATATGTGAAACTTCAAATGATAGTTAATTTCAACTTACATTAAAGAATACTGTTCTGAAGCGATTTTCTTGTGGCATTTTAAATTAATTACTATTTAACTGGGAATAAGCCACAATTAAAGGTAAAAATACGTTTATTGACGTTTCAATTTCCACTTCGGAAATCGTTCTGAACGATTTCCGAAGTGGAAATTGAAACGTCAATAAACGTATTTTTACCTTTAATTGTGGCTTATTCCCAGTTAAATAGTAATTTACATTGAAAAAGACTACCGATTGAGAGCAAACTGTACCGATTCTACCGATCGTATATTATATTATAAGTTACAGTACTTGGCCTCGTTGGCAACAATGTCGCAACAATTTAAAGAATTAAATTTTGGGAAAATAAAAATATTATAATATGATCTACGTGCTGTCACCTACTCACAGAATTGTTAAACGTTAGAGTATTTGAATGCCACTCATTTTAACTGCAGCGCTAACTTACTCCCTTAAGTGGTTTTTTTCTCTTCCAGGTCTTTATTTAACTTCAAACTATATTTTATGCAAGAAGCATATTTTGATTGCATTTAAAGACATTATTTTTATTAGATCAAATTATTCTCGAAGCTCAGATAATTGATTTATAAAGGGATCAATTTAAATTTTTAAATTGGGCTCCAAAAAAATACATTCTCATGAAAAAATGGATGCTGATATTTTTGGGGGTTAGTTGGAGACTGATCTTTTACCAAGATTGAAAGAGCCATTAATAATCATTTTCATTACATTGGTGCCAAACTTTTTTCTAAAAAAAAAAAAAATTTCCTCTGAAATCTAGATAAACAAATATCCAAATTTTAAATACCATTACCATTTATATCTTTTAATGCTCTTGAAATGTGTGTAGGTGTGTAAATCCAAAATAATTAGTACTATGGATTCTACTAAATCTTAATGGTAAAATATTTAATTGCATTACTATCAATAGTGAACTGTGAATTCACAATTTTATTTCATTTATAAAAAATTATGTAATTACATTTAACTAAATTCAAAAACAAGGTTGAACAAATCCCCTTCGTTGGCTCAGTGGAGATGTTCGTTCAGTTGTAATGGAAACAGCAAATAATAGTAGCAGAGTTTATTGATGAGACGTACACTATGGGTGTTGACCCGGGATTACTTTGAGTAGAGACTGTTGCAGTTGATCGCTGAAGACTATCAAGTTTGTTGAGTGAATATTGATTGAATGCTTCTCTAGGCAAAAGATATTAGTTTTATATAAGTTTTAATTGGGTCAATATATTCGCGGGCCTCGCGTGATATGTGTGTCTAATTTATGTAAATTGTTTAACTTTGTCAGCACTTTTGACTGATGTCCAAATTATATTGTTGATAATTGACCAAATCCGTATGTAACCTAATTAACTACGTGTATGTATTTAATAACAAATAAATTCATTCGGTCTACTGGGTGATAAAATTATACCGTCCAATTTCGGATATGAATTCTGAAGATTTGATATTGGACATACTGCGGAATCGGGCAATCTGGCCCAAGTGTCAGTACTCAAAGTTTACATATAAGTATAACATAACATAGTAAAATTCAAACATGATAAATTATAAGTAGTTTAAGAATAATCAATAATCTTCCAACCGCTACCCTAGCTATCAATGTCCGACTCTATCTCTAGATTAAAATTAGGGCAATTGGATGAAAATGTGGAGAGTGGGATGTCGGCTTGGGAAGTAGACGGTACATTGTTGTGCCGATTACTAACTAATACAGGTACTTCCTGTTCGTTAGTCTGAGTTTGTGGATTCCCTGCACGACATAGTCGTGCAACAGGACGGTACTTCCATAACGTGAGTATCCCAATTATTACCATTATAGTAATGGTCCCGGTGGCCACAAAATAATGCCAATTAGATTCGTGAATCGATCGCCACTGCGTATGCGTCATTTCTTGTTCCAGACTTTCCTCCTCAAGTAACACATGACGTAGCTCTCCTCCTGGTATGTCAAGGTAGGTGTTTAGAGGCGTGTTAAACCTGCGGGGTGTCCTCGCCACCAGTTGGGCCACGGGAGTGATTGGCGACTTCAGGTAACTCGTCACCGCTCTGTCCACCCCGCTGCTAGTGGGAGTAATAAAATATTTTTCGTTTGGGCGATACATTTGGGTGAAAGCTTCAGGAATGTGACTCGTTCCAGTACTCTTTCGCTCCGATTTCCATCGCAAATAATGGATATGTGTATCGTGACTGGCGTGATAACTAGCCAGAGGTTGGGAGTACCCATCTTACTCCATTGAGCTGTCTGTATTGTCCTGGCTACCAGTGGACATGTGCTATTCTTAGATCGCTCATAAATTTCTTTAAGTATGCAGTTTGGTTGGGTATCCATGTTTCTTATAGCCGTTGGTGAGCACGCTATCTGCGCCTTTGTCAACAGTAAGCACCTTTCTCTATCTTCCGCGGTCAATTCGAAGTAGTGCAGTGTGTTATAATCTACGACCAGTAGATTCCTTGGGGCGACAAATGTGCGCAACACCGACCCCTCAACGTTAAGTGGTATGGCCGTGACTTTGAGCATGCTGTACTTATTTTTCCCTGTCACTATGAAGTAGCTGATGACTGTTATATATCTGTCGTCATGACTGACTTCTGTTTCTATAATGGGTTGTCGTCGTATTTCGACCCTTTGAGGCAGTATCTGCCCTGCTTTCTCTATTAATTTGGTTATTTCACCCGGTTTCACTATATCAATGAAGTGTCCGTGGTTATAGTGAAGGTTTAATATTCCCTCGTAAAATTGAGTATATTCGTTTATGAAGTCCATAACTTGTAATGCTATCGTTTGTATTCGTAACGTGCTATATTCGGTTTCTAGTCTTTGTGCTTTGTCTTCTACTTCGTTAAGTCCTTTAGATATTTCTTGTAGACCTGTGATTAGTGCTTTGTTAAACTTGTTCATTTGCTCGTTTATCCTGTTCTCTGTGTGATTGATTGATGTTATTGTTTCTAACATTATCTTCGCCTGGTGCTGTGATCCCTTTATTAGCTCCTTTTGGTTATTATCTAATGCTTCAATGTTACTGTAGGCTTCGTCATTGACTCCAAATACTGAGGTTAATATTGTTCCTAATATTCCTCTTCTTTCCCTTCCTTTTATTTCTACTGTCAACCCCTCGCTTACTGACTCCGCCTTTCTTTGTCCTTCCTCTAACTTCCCTATTATATCCTTACAATTCACGATTTTTATCTCCTGGCACAGTTCTCGTACGCCTTGTATCGTATTTCCTATTAGTTGATGCTCTGTTCGAATTCTTCCTTTATCGAGTAACACCTTTATTCGAAATGTTCCCCGGTCTATGACGACCTCTCCAAGGTCTTCTGTGAAAAATCCTGGTACCGGATTATATATTTTATACGGTTCTGCCTTTATGGGTTTTAACATCGTTAAAAACATTATAGCTACTAGTATTTTATTCCATCTTAGTGCTGCTGCCTTCTTCGGCTTTTCCTGTTTCTCTTCTTCCAGTCGTATTAGCTTATGTATGGGTCTTTTAGTCAGTTTCCCGTTTGCCTTTCTCACTGTTACTACTCTGGTTAATCCCTCCGCTCCAGGGTGTGTTTCTGTTACCCTCGCTAATGGCCATCTGCCTGGAGGTGTATCCTCTTCTTTAATTATAACTATTTCTTCTTCTTTTATGTTAGGGTGCGCCTTATGCCATCTATTTCTCTGTTGTAATTGGTGCAGGTATTCCTGTTTCCAAATTTTCCAGAAGTCTCTTTTTATTTTCTCCAATAATCTCCACCTCGTCGGCATCTTCAAATAAGTCGTAAGCTCTTCTTCCCGATTTGGTGATATAATTTCTCTCCCTATAAGGAAGTGAGC